GGATGTAGACGAGGGTCGGTAACGTTGGTGTGGGTGTGGGTGTGGGTGTGGAGAGGGGGAGAAGCCCAACGTGCGGCGTGTGAATCTGGATGGAGAGATGTGGACCGCCATCCCGGAGTGCATCTCTCTTGCCGTTGGTGTGTCCGTGTGGGTGGGGTGGCTCAGCAGAGCGGCGGCGTCTTGACGAGGAGTGGCATTGCAGAGGTCCTTCGTGCCTGACGACCGCGACAGACGTCTCGACAGGTTACATATCTGAGGGTTGTTCGTGTCGAGAGGGTATGCGTCGACTGGGAGACGGTGTGGTCAAAGGACTTCGTCAGCAGACGCGACGCGAGGTGAGTGAGCCATATCCCGTGCAGTCAGCCTCAATACATACCTGATGCCGACTGACTGACTGACTGACTGCCCGCTCTGCTCTGCTGTGCTCTGCTCTGCTGTGTGTGTGGCCACAGGTCTGTAGTACACGGTCGTCTGCATTCGATTGCCAAGGCCCCCCAATCTCGGTGAGATCCCCGAGATTCATCAGCCGGGTGGCGATGAGGGCGGGAAGCCGGACTTCTCGCTCGTGCGTGTGAGCAACGAGGCCCTGGTTAACGGTCGCGGCGTGCCGTTGTTGTTCAGCCCGTGTCAGTGGGTGTGTCGGCTGGAGGTCATGATGTACCCTGGTGGTGAGGGCCGCGAGGATGACTTCTGCCTGTCCAAGCAGGAGGGCGGGCGGCGCACCCTTCGTCAAGACGGCGTCCCGTGCCAACCTGCAGCCTCTGGTGCCCTACTGCAAGCACTGCAGCACCGAGAACCTGACCACCGTCAGAGACGCCATCCCATCCCTCAGTGCGCAGCTGCAGCAGGCCAAGGCAGGCACGCTTGTCGAGTGGAGGGACAACGGCAGCATATCCCTGACCAACAGCCACCCCCATTGCCATGACCCCTTTCACCACGTCGCGTGTGCCTCTGACGAGGACGGTGGCCATGCCGCCACTTCCCTGCGACACACAACTGGCACCGTCAAAATGCCGCGACAACAACAACAGCAGCAGCAGCAGCAGGCACCCCCTAAGCCACCCAGCTTGGCTGTCCATGCGTCCCCGTTCCCTGCCCATCGTGACGGCATGACCACCACAGTCCATCATCCGCCGGCAGCATCCCCGCCGACACGATGGAGGTGCTGTGGCGGCATGGTGTGGTCCGTTTGATGCGTAACGCGTCAATGGATCTGGTGGCTGCGGTACTGCGCGGAGCGGCCATGTGTACCAAACAGCTCGGGCCGTGGGCCAAGTTGATGTGCGCAACCTTCAGAGGGTACGTGAGGGAGCCTGGAGGCACCAGGCAATGGCTCATGTGTGTGTCTCCTGTGTGTGTGTCTTGGCAGGTGGGCCATGTCAGTCGTCCGAGCCAAGCCACGATGGGCGGGGGAAGGCCGTTCCGGCCGTATCCCGTCCATCACCCGTGGATGGCGCAGGACAACACACATGCCCTCCCTCTGGTTGCCGAGCAGCGCTCTACCTCCATCTATGACCACCCGAGCGCCTGTGAGATCGCCCAGAGACTCGTCACACACGACGGCAGCCAGCTAGATGCCGCCCTGGTCGAGCGGCTGCAGTTCATCGGCCACACGCTGTTCCGCGAGGGCATCAGCCGGCAGTGGCAGAGGTGGACGCCGGAGCAGAGGGCATCGGTCAAGGCGGTGCTGCTGTTCTACCCCACTCACCTGCCGGCCGACCGTCTTCGATCGCCCATTGTGCGGCAACAGTGTGCAGCTGGGCAGCTGGACCTCCACCAGTACATCCGAGCCAGACACACGCCAGACGCACCATACACAGCTGAGGTACACCCATGGAGAGACAGGCACACTCAGTGGTGGTCGATCATTATGTGTTGTGTTTCGTGTGGTTGGGTGTGTGTCAGATGAACGAGGTTGCGATGCAGGTGGCGTACATCCTGAGTGAGTTCCTGGAGACGTCAGGCGACGTGCTGCTGCAGAGGCTCCCCGTCGACACCATCGCCGTGCTGTGGCGGCATGGTGTGGTCCGCCTGATGCGTAACGCGTCGATGGACCTGGTGGCTGCGGTGCTGCGCGGAGCGGCCATGTGTACCAGACAGCTCGGGCCGTGGGCCAAGTTGATATGTGCGACCTTCAGAGGGTACGTGAGGGAGCCTGGAGGCACCAGGCAATGGCTCATGTGTGTGTCTCCTGTGTGTGTGCCTTGGCAGGTGGGCCATGTGAGTCGTCCGAGCCAGCCCACGATGGGCGGGGGAAGGCCGTTCCGGCCGTATCCCGTCCATCACAGATGGCTCAGGACAACACACATGCCCTCCCTCTAGTTGCCCAGCAGCGCTCTACCTTCATCTATGACCACTCGAGCGCCTGTGAGATCGCCCAGAGACTCGTCACACACGACGGCAGCCAGCTGGATGGCGCCCTGGCCCAGCGCGTGCAGTTCATCGGCCACACGCTGTTCCGCGAGGCCATCAGCAGGCAGTGGCAGGGGTGGACGCCGGAGCAGAGGGCATCGGTCAAGGGAGTGCTGCTGTCCTACCCCACTCACCTGCCGGCGGACCGTCTTCGATCGCCCGTCTTCAGCGGCAGGGCCGAGGGCACAACTTCCCGACTGGTTCCTCGCCGAATAATTCACCAGTAAGCCACAGGCCCACACCCACACCCACACAGACACACGCGCATGCCGTTCTCCTTTTCTCAGGTCTGCTGCTGGTGCGGATATTCCGTCTGGGCGACCCCCCCTCCTCCCGCCGATGAAGGAGCGAAGGCCCTAAGGGCCATCGACGCCGTCGCCACCGACCTGACATCGACGGCTACGGGTGCGGGCAGTGACGTGCCGCTCTGTGTAGATGCGCACGGCATCAGCTGGACCGAGAGGGTGGCGCAGCAGGTGGAGAGTGAGGAGATGGACCACCGTGTGGAGCCGGGGCGAGTGCGCGCGTACGTGAGGAGGGGGTGGATGTCGGGGAGGGGCAATCAACGGTGTGTAAGCACACCCGACCATCAATCATGTCAGGATGTCAGTGTAGACATTGGCATTTTTGGTGGGTATGTGTACTTTCTGGTTGCGTGACTGACTTATTTGTGAATGGCTTTTCATGTCATGCGGTGTTCCCGTCTGTCTTTGCCACCTGACCTGACCTGACCGGCTCTAGCCAGGCGTCCCGTCCACCGAGAGAGGAGAACAGCCGTTTGTTTGCTGTGTGCTTTGGACACTAATCTGATTGATCCCACTCACTCACTGACTGACTCACTGACTGACTTTCTCGTGATGGTACGTACGTCAATGTGCGTGTCCGCGTGTGTGTGTGTGTGTGTAAGGATCACTTACTACCTCCCAGGCAGGCAACCACGCAGGCATCACACTCGCTCCACACACCGGGCGCGTTGGCACGCAGGTGTTTTGCCCTTGCGGGAGTGCAATCAGTTCCTCCGCATCCGACTCACTTTGCCGTCCATCCGTGCTGTTGCGGGTTTTGCCGACACCAGCCGTCCGTACTCGGCATCGCTCTCCTTTTCTTATCCCGACCGTACAGTACGTCGGCGGCACGGCAGCCATTTGAGTATTGGCGTGACAACTTGGCTCTCTGTATGTATGTCTCCTTGGCCACCTCATGTGTGTGTTTGTGTGTGTGTGTGGTCCTTCATTTTTCATAGCTGCCGCTGACAGCGCACTGTCCGCACTGTTCGCCGTCACTTGTTTGCAGTGCATCACCCCATCAGCTGTACTCGCACCCGTCACTGACCCCATCAGCTGTGTGTTTGTATGCACTCGTGCCCGACTTCTCGTGCAGTGCAGGGGCTGCTCGGGTGTTCTGGTGTGTGTGTGTGTGTGTAAGGAGCACTGCTCCCTATCAGGCAGGCAGGCAGCCACGCAGGCATCATACTCGCTCTACAGACAACCCGGCTCACTGCGGAATGGCGGGCAGGTCTTTTGTCCCTCCGGCAGCGCATGTCCTCCTCGTCTGGCTGATTTTGCCACACACAGGAGGGAGGAGCCCCCCTCACCCCCCACTGCAACATCGCTCGATCTAGTCTCATCCATCATGTATGCGTGCATGTGTGTGTTTGTGTGTGTGTGAAAGGCTGTACTCACTATCTACCGGACAGCACAGGCAGGCATCGCACCCAGGCAGGCAGTCTCCACGCACAACCGGGCTGCGCACCCCGAGTGTATGCACGCGGGTGTTGTCTTGTGCCCTGCTGGACACAAGACGAGCCCACCCCCATGCTGCTGCTGATTTGCTGAAGTTAATCCACCCATCCATCCATCATCTTGCTGCTATGTGTGCATCTCCCGATGCAGTAGAGCTCGGTGCGCTGTTCTCGTGTTCGTTCGTTGGTTTCTGTCTGTCTGTCTGTCTGTGCGTGTGTGTGTGTGTGTGCATGGCTGCAGGGATGTCATGTATGTGCAACTGAGCAGGGATGTCTGTGTGTTTTTGATGCTCTTATGCGTTGCCATGCCGCGGACGCACTCGCTGTGTGCATGTGTGTGTGCTCTGGGCGGTTCTGTTTGCCGTTGCACTGGCAGCATTTACAACGAAGCTGGCCGTCTCCGGCTAAGCCCGCAGACGGGGGTCTTTGACAAACGACACCGCAGGCCAAGATCTGTGTAGTGACGTGCTTCAGACGCGCTCACGCTACGTCATAATCAAAGGAAAAGTCGATCTCATCTGAGTCGGTCACGGCAGTCCACACCACTGGGAGGGAACCAAACACTCTCACGAATATAAAATGTAAGCAGCGATGTGATGTGTGACCGGCCGGCACAGTTCCACACACACGAACTGCAATCCATTCAAGTACATCACCATATCATCCGACCGACTGCTATAGCGGGGGGTAACCTGCAGGCCCTGCAGGCAAGCAGACCGCCTCACTCACATGCAGACCTGGTGACGAGAAAGAGACCAAGAAGGTGCGTTGCGCTGTCTGTCTCTCTCCCTCCGGCTGGGCTGTGCTGTCCTCACATTCATGAATGAGGCCGCCACGCTAACGCTGCCTGACTGCCTCGTTATCCAACAGGCTCTCTGGCAGACGTCTGTTACAAATGACGCTTGCGTTGTCGACAGCTGATGGCTATTTTGCGTGGCCAAGGGAGCAAAAGAGTCGTCCGGATATAAAATGTAGGCACCGATGAAAGACACCTGCAGACACACACCGGCACGGAAATGAAGGAGACATTATCGAACCGCTGGCTGCCCTGCCCAGGATGCCCACCCACTCACTCACTCACTCCATCCCCTCCACCTCGCCGAACTTGGCGGCCAGCGGGCAGCAGGGCCGACCACTGGAGAGTGGGCGGCCGTCGGGCGCGACGAACTGCTCCATGTGGTCCTGCCACTCCAGCACGGCCAGCGTCTCCTTCCACAGCACTTGCGAGTAGCTCTCCAGGGCCGGCCGCAGGCTCCCCCTCTCAGCACGGCGTTAAGCAACACGCACAGCCCCCACTTGATAGTCGGCGCGCCCACCCACACGGCCTCCTCCTCCCCCTCGCCAACCAAGATGCCGTCGGCCCTGAGCTGCTGCTTCAGCTCGCTGGCGGCGATGAGGTCGCTGTCCTCCTCATTCTCGGCCTCCTGCTTGACGGCGATATTGAGGAGCACCGATTCCGGCGGCCGGAACCCCGGGGTGCCCTCTGGAGCCTGATCGGCGGCCAGGCGGCGGGCCAACCGCAGCGGGATGAGGGCGCTGGTGGCCGGGTCGAGGAAGGGCGGATTGGGGCTGGTGGTGGACTGCACCTTGACCGTGTTGGCGAGGTCGATGAATCTCACCGACCCGCCAACATCAGCCGGCTGCTGGGGCGATGCCGACCGGAGGGCCGACCACTTCAGAAAGACGTTGCTCCAGGCCGGCCTGAGCGGCTGCGATGTGGCCTTGGGTCATGAGGTCCAGGGCATTGGTGACGACCAGTAGGTCTTGTGCCACCGCGGCCCTCTTCTGGGCCGTCCTGCCGCTGTACCGGTCGGCGATGACCTCCACGCTGTACTCGGCCCGCAGCGGCTGCGACAGGTTGTACTTGGCCTGCTCGTCCTTAGTGTCCAGCAGCAGATCCCGCTGCTCCACAAACTCCTCTGCAACAGACGTCGAACCACACAGACAAGATAGAGAGGGACAGCCAGTCAGTGGGACCGTTGCCTGTGTCGTACTGCGTGTGTTGCCTCACACACCTGTCACTCGAGGCATGCCGATGACCACACAACACAGTCCACAAGGCCATCCCACCTCGGGCATCGTGTGGCGTCGGCGTCCTCGAAGAGGAGCTGCAGAAACAGCGGGTCGCCCTCATCCTGGCGCATGCGGTCTGCCTCCCTCTGCAGCCCCGGCCCTAAACGCCGGCAGTCTGCGGCACCGTAGACCACCTTGACGACGGCGTCGATGGCCTCTGCCGGCTTCTCGGGGTTGGGGAGGCGCTTCTTGATGATGCCTGTTTTGCCGTCCCTGCCGATGCTTATCAAATCGCCCTCCCCGAAGTGCAGCACCACCGTGTCGTCGGCGAGCGGCTTGGTCAGCTCGATGGTCGCTGCTTGGGCGCTGCTGCTGCTGCTGCTGCTGCTCAGCTCTTTCTGTGGACGGCGGCAGGCCAGAAAAGGCAGACAAGGACAGAGGGGATGGCTACTGCTGGCAGGTCAGATTGGATGTGAATGTGTGTGTTGGTGTGTGTGGAGGGCTGTGTCTGCGTTCCTCCGCAACCTCGCGGCGAGCTGGGTGTCTCTGGCGCTGCTGCTGCTCGCGTTGGTGTTCGTCTTGATGGTCACCGTACAATGCGCCAACCTGTGAGGATGAACACAGACACACAACACGACACTCTCTCACTTGTCTGTCTCTCTATCTCTCTCTCTGTCTTCTGCGTGTCAGCTACTACTTCTATCCGCCGCCACCGTAACACACACACACACAAGACTAGAGAGACACACACACACCTGCACGGACCTCTCTCCATGTCTCTGATGTGTGTGTGATGCATCTGCAGTGAGTTCACAGAGGTGCCGGCCGCCAAGTCCAAGCCGCCCGCCTCCCACTCGCTGATGCTCGACCTCAGCCCGGCCACTCTCGCTCTCACGGACGTGGACGTGGCGCCACGAGCAGCGATGGTGGACGAACTCGACAAGGTCCTGTTGCAACTCAGCCCAAGATTCAAGCAGCAGCAGCAGCAGCAGCAGCAGCAGAGTGACGGGCACACGGCCATCCGCGGCACACAGCACACTCAGACACAGACACGCGCCAAGTACCCCGACAAAGGTCAACAAAACCAAGTAGAACACACCATGAGACACAAAGCACATAGCCATCTGTCTCTGTATCTGTGTGTGCAGATTGCGGTGCCGGTGCGGCTGATGCGGAGGAGGTCTCGGCTCGGGATCTGCCGAGAGAAGTCGATGTGCTGCCCGAAGGTACTATGTAATGTCACTCATCCAGCCTGTGTGTCATGTGGATGTGTGTGTCGCCTCGGTCGGATAATCAGATGAAGAGCTGGAGGTCGCATCGATCGCGAAGATCGTCAAGAGCGCCGTCCGCTTCGGATTCATCCTCGTCTTCATCATACTCCTCCTCGCCTACTGCGCATTGTAACTAACGCCACACACCAAAACGCACAGCTGGAGGTGTCTCTCTCACTGTCGTGGATGTGTGTTGTGTGTTGTCAGTGTTCACGTATGGTTCACATTCCTGCTGCAGGGCTGCAAGAACATCACATCAGCAGCCGGACCAGCACAGTTCGAAGCCGAGGCGTGAGTGAACGGACCCACCAAACCCACCAACCAACCGACCAACGAAGAGACACACAGCCGACAGACAGACAGACAGACAGACAGACAAGGGATGGATGAATGGATGGGTGGTGTGAACGGATGCATTGAGAGACGCACATGAAAGATGGCTACAGGCACCAACAGACATTGATTGCCATCGTGTCAACAAGTCATTCTCACACCACACCACATAAACGACACCTGTCTGTCTGTCTGTCTGTTTGTCCTCCCGCGGCACATCAACCAATGCACACACAAAGAGTCGGTCACCACTAGGAGATCAGATACACGCACTTACACGCACCACACCATGCCGCGAATGAACCTGGATGATTATCGGTTTCCCTTCGAAGCAACGCGTACTTTGCCGGCGATGGGTGTCAGGCCGGTTCCCCGCACACAATTCAAACACACGTGCCTCACCCCCACATAGTTAGCTTGTTGGCCAGACCGTCAGTCGGTGCACAATTAAGATCAATATCAGCCCTTGCGCCCATCGACTACATCATCCACATCGGTCAACCAACAAGTCAGTCTCTCGGTCAACAGAAGTCAGCCCATTATTCATTCATTCACATGCGTGTCATGTATGTCTGTCATCCGTTGTCTGAGAGCCTCTCCATCCGTCCACTGCAGACCTCTCTCTATCTCTCTCACAATCAATCATGCAATCAGCGTGTTGTTGGTCTTGCACTGTGCCGCACACTCGTCTCTGATTTGTGTGTCGTACTGGTCCTTGTCGTTGGCCGTCGTGCAGCAGTGGCCGCACACGGCCCTCCGGCACGCGGCCTCACTGCTGCGCTGCGACGCCTGGGAACACATGGCGAACACCTCACCGCGACCACCCACACACGAACTGCACAGAGGGAGAGGGACACACACATGAGTGGATGTGTGTGTGTTTGGGTGGGGGCTTGCCAGCGCACCTGAGGATGCTTTCGAGTGCGGTTTGTGTCTCGTGAGCGTGCTGGTCGTTCTCGTGGCACGCACGGGTGCACTCCACAAGTCCTCCACTCTCATCACCCCCCACACTGATACATACCCCAAACACACACACACACCCGCACAGCCATGCAATGCCTTCCCCCGTCATTGTGTGTGGTGTACTTACTGGTGCTGGCAGCACTTGAAGCAGAATTGTCCCACATGAGCGCACTCGCTCAGTGCTGCACTCGGTTGCAGGTCGCGGCACACACGCTGCCGGTCGAGGGCGTGGCTGGCAGACAAACACACAGAGGCCGGGAGGGCGGCGAAGGACATCGCACTCTCCATTGCTGTGTGCGGCGGGATGACAATGTCCGGATGCTTTGATGATCGGAGGGGGCCGTGAGTGTCGCTGGCTGATGCGGCGGTGAGGGGGTGGGCT